TTCAATGTGCAGGGTATACTCCATTGCTTTCAATGAGAAACCTTTGGCATCAAACACAGACACATCATCATGAATTTATACTTTGGGGTATAAATTTGCCAACTTGACAGATATGTTGGGGTGTGATTTTCAATTTAATCAGCCAGCATGGTTTTATTTACATTTATTTCACTTTTTTATTTGTACTATTGAAACATGTTTGGGCATGTAACCCAACCCCACCCCTAGACCTACCCGTTTGTGTATTACATCATATAAAACACAGGATGTATAATAGGCAGATATATTACTAGAGGCACAATTTATCCAAAAGTACAAATATTCCAAATCTGTCCCGAGGCCAAACGGTTGATCTGTGTGAGGAACAGGGCCAAAGACAGACACTGTCTCCATCCACCATCAAGCTCAGATCCTTTGCACAAACATTGCCGCCAGAAGAAGTGTTATGTCAGCCTAGATTGTAAAATGGCATTTGCTCTCGTGTGTCTCGTGACTAGTTGTGTAATGCTAATGCTTTGGATGTATCTTTTGAATGAGAGTGTGTGCGTTCATGGAGAAGAATAATTTTCAGCTATTAAAGCCTCAAGTTCTTGTGGTACTCTGTTCTTCATATAAAGATATCGTATGGCTTCAGAAGACTTGTAAACCTACACTAAAATTCAATACAAACAACTCGTGTTGCATTCCATGATAGTGTTGTTAAAAGTACCGACTATACTGAAATTTGTCACATTAAAAAATGTTTCCCTCTAGCATTTTGAGCGCTGTTGTATGGATTCTTAAACACCTCTGATTGGCCATTGTGCTCAACATATGTCTGTGATTGGCTACAATGGTTAACGCTAAAAAAACATGTAGTCTTCACCAAGCGCTTACACAGATACACACGGGAGCGTTTGAAAGCAGGCGTCTATCAGCAGATCCGCCTATCAGCAGATATATTAGGGATCCGCTGATTGATGCCTGCTTTCAAACGCTCCCGTGTGTATCTGTGTAAGCACTCGGTGAAATGCGTCAACGATGTCTATTTACAACATGTTTTTGAAGCGTTGATCATTGTAGCCAATCACAGACATATATGTTGAGCGCGTGAATGCAATGGCCAATCAGAGGTGTTTAAGAATCCGTTTAACAGTGCTCAAAACGCTAGAGGGAAATGCTGGTATTGTCACATTTAAAAAAATTCAGTACCGACTTTTGACAACACTATTCCATGACAACAATGTACTAAAAACGGAAAAGTTTTTCCTTTGCGTTTCCCCGTACAGACGACAATGTTGTCAAAACGATCCCCGTTCACACGGATGCCAGTACACTCCATAAAATGCTAGGTTGTTTCCACCCAAATTTGGGTCAAATATGAACAAACCCAGCCGTTGGGTTAAATAAATTGTTTTAACCCAACGGTTGGGTTCGTCCATATTTGACCCAAATTTGGGTTAAAACAACCCTGCATTTTTTAAAGTGTAGATGGCGATGTCACTTTGTAAAGAAACACTACATGTCTATAGACTGAACACGTAACACGCATGCACATGACGTCACCGTTTTAAAAGATTCCTGTTTTTGCAGTTTACACGGAGATGATAACTGTACCCCTTTCAAAAACGTGCTCTTTAAAACCCGTTTTCAAAAGTTGGCTTTTCAGGCCCCCAAAACGGCATTGTCGTGTAAATCGCCGGCCAAAACACGCACACAAAAAAATCTTTTTTTAGTTGAAAAGAGTGTCGTGTAAACGGCCCCTAAGAGACATTTACAAAATGTGGTATATTCTATCATTTTAAATTTGAATTTTATACCCATAACATTTATTAAAATTGAATTGTATTTGAGACATTTTATAAATATTATAAGATGTGTATTTGAGTGTTTTTTCTTTTTAGGTGAAATCAGCTGTAAATATACAAATTATTAAAATACAAATTCAAAAAATGTGAAAAATAAACTACAAAAGATGCACACGAGGCACCATATTTTAAATTTTTTACCTCTAAAAACAGATTAGAGCAGTTTGCTCCAGTTAAACTGTAGGATTGTTGATCTTAACTGGTTTTAGATAGGCACTGTTGGATTGTTACTGGCACAAGCTGGTTGATATTATTACCGTTTCAGGTATCAAGCAATGCTATTAATTTAAGGTTTTAACAGATCATTTAATTGGGTTTTCATCTTGATCTAATGTTATTTTCAGAAGAGTGGGTACATTCTGGATGTTGTAATCACATGTTCTCCGTGTGTGTGGCTTCAAAGAGAAAGTGTGCTCTCTTCCTATTTTCTGCAGACCAGCAGCTGTGCCTGTGTCCTTCCACACCATCTTTCAACGTAATCTTTGGTAATTTGCAGTCTGTGTGCACCATTCACATACTTCTTTCTTCCTGCCTATATTCGTTTGTGTCCAGCCTAGTTCGGTCGTTTGACTTAATTAAACCCCTTTCATAAGTCAGGGCCTTTAGGCTGAACCAAAAAATGAGAAATTGCCATCAAAATAGAGGTGTTAGAGTATACTGATTAACATGTAACTCATTTTTCTTTATAGTTCATTTGCCCTCTCCTGCCTTCAAAAAGAATTAACCGACTGATGGCTAGCCCAACAAATGGCCTTGATTTTAAAGCCATTAAGATGAACGAATCCAATTGTTGCGGTTGTGTTTATGTGGGTTGTCTGGGTCCACTGTTATTGAGCTAGTACATCACCTTCTCCTTAAATCAATAAAGCCAGAAATCGAGAACGCAGGCTGTGTTTCTGAAAATGAGGGCAGAGCCAGGGATTTGGGGTGCATGGGGAACATCCTCCTAATGTGCCCATGTAGACATGTCAGCTAGCCGCATAAGGTTCTGTTTAATTAGTCATCAGGGGAGGCAGGGCATTTTGGATTGGATTGTGTGGATCAGGGCCATTTGAATTTGAGGGAGCACCAGGTTTTTGCTTGTGTGTCTTCCAGGGCATCTGGGCACACCACCTGTTAATGAGTCGTGAAGTATTCACTCTCTAAGCCCACAATAAAACCTATTATACTTTCAGTTGTAAGTACAGTTTTGGAACTAGAATATTCATGCATTGGTTCTCCTTGGGGATATACAATATCAGTGCTTTGTACAAATATGTTTGAGTTGACTATGTCAGTTTTTTGGTCAATGTCTTTGTGAAACATGCATTTGAGCTGAGAATTTGTTTGGTAGTTATATACTGGCCCACACATAATCTCATAAGCTATTTTTAAACCGTTGTAGGATGAAATTTGTGGAATAGGTGAAAACACTTACATTTAACAAAATTAAATTGAGACATTTCATAGGTTTGTATATTTTTAAACTGCATGTTTTTTAGAGGTGACATTAGCTGTAAATATTCAGATTGTTGAATTAGTTTTCACATTTAGAACAAAATTAAGTGTAAATAACTGTAAAATGCAAGTGAGAGCACATTGTTAGCTGAAAGCATTAGCAAATTATCAAAAATATTTGATGTGTATATGTAAATTTGATTTTAATGCATTGCAATTTGTGTGTAGTTATGTAGAATTTTGTGAAGGACGGTAGGTTGAGCTAATTCTGTGTCGGGTTAGTTACATGTTTCTCAAAAATGTACTGTACATTTGGTTTTTTAAAACTGTAAACTGTGTGCATATGTTCGAAAATATACTTGTATACCGGTATGCTTCAAAAAAAGACAATGGGGGTTTTACAATGGTGAAACTACAGTATGGTAATGCCAATATGGTGTCTATACACAAACAGACAGACTTATGTGTTTGCATGCTTGATGTTAAGTGTTTGTGAACTTGATCTTATGAATCTGTGCAAAGTGCAAAAATGTATTTTGACTGCCTGAATGATTCCAACACAAGCTAAGATAGCCAACAGTCTCCTGACGGTCTCAACCTTGAGATTTTGCGAACGTACTCAGCGAGGTGTTTGTTGAGAAACGGCCAACTCAGCATATAGCAGGCTAAAAGTGTCATTTCACTAAATGCATCAACACAAGTGCTGGCTAGTGTGGCCCAAGTCATAAAATAGACATTTAACCTCTCCTGAAATTCTTTCAAGCACTCAATTATGATTTTAAAATGTCGAAACGGTAGCACGAGCTCTAGCGACAGGGTGAACGAAAGGACAGACAGTGGTCACACTTCGCAGAGCCCTAAGTGCTCTCCAATGACTTCCTTTTGTTTTGCCTGTCTGCTTTTTTTTTTATCTCCGTAAATGATGCCAATCTTCATTCACGGCCCATGACGGTCCTGACAGGATGCTTCCCAGTCATCTGGCCCATTCTGACCCCCTTTATATTAAACAGGCCCCTTCACCTCCCCTCATCCCAAATTAACCCCCTGTCAGTGCCCAACAATGGAAGTGGGCATGGCCCCAGTCTGATTTATCCCACACTTCGCCATGATGGGGGGCATCTGCCACACCCCCTGCCCGGTCCTCCCTTTCTAAACACGGCGTAGAGGAGGGCTGTCAGTCCATCTTCCAGAAAAGCGACATGCGCTGATTGGGGAATTAGTTCAGTCAATGACTGTATTTAGAGCTAAATAGGGTGTGTGTCAGTGACTTTGTGTGTGTATTTGCAATTGGTTCATCCTAGTTCTGCCCATGAGCTTCTTTAGGACCGTCTGCTGCAAGAGGGCACACATTGTCACTCCTCAGACATACACATAGACGTTCAGGGCTAACTGCACCTCTTTAGGCCTGTGAAGAGAAGGAAAACACCATATTTAGGACTCGCACTCTTGGGATTCTCCAATGGATTAATGGCTAACAACTGATTAACACCTTGGAGCTTCTATTTATGGTGTTTTGGGCAAGTTTGAAGCGATTTCGTGATATGATGATAATGCAGTTTGGCGGTTGCAATTGCAGACAGAGACTTTTTAAAAGTCACTGTCTGCAGAGCCTAGTACTGCTTATCTGTTGGTATCAGGGATACTGGGGCGCTACCATGATGCCGTTAGCCCAATACTCTTTGCTCGAGGACTCAGAGTCTGTGTTACTTCCAACAGACACGGGGACTCAGGAGGGGACTAGCAATAGGGCCACAGAAGCCCCCACTGCAGAACATGATGATGACAACTCTCTGGGCTACACAGGTACTGCTATTTATTTTTAATCCTAAAAATACTGCTTTATATTTACCACAGAAGAACTTCTCTCAAATCTATTATTTAGATAATGTTTGCTTTATTGTGTGTCATTTGATCTCTTCCTTGAGCCTTAGAATTGTTTACTACTTTTTTGCATGAAAAACCAGGGGTTGCCAGGTGATAACATAAGTTTTTATGCAGATATGACCTGTTTCTGATCCAATGATTGCAGGTCCTTCTGTAGAGTCTTTTATTCCGCCTGGATTTCCATGGATGGTTTTGCATAACCTTCACCTTAAGTCTGTCGGTGCATCTGTATTGAGTGAGGTTTTCCCATTTATAAACAGTTTATATTCTTTACAAATGTTACTTAAGTCAAGCTGGGGAAATTGGACACCCTTTCCATGTTACTTTTGGGAGATAAGCCATGAATGTTCTGACACTTGTGACTTAAAGGAATAGAGTCAGCCAGAACCTCAATTTCTAGATTAAATGCACTCAGATGAGATGAGTCAATCGGCGAGAGAAGATCCCTGACCCTTTTTGCTTAAGTGGAAATAGAGTTCACCTTCTAGGGGCCCGGGGGGCCGGAGCGGAGAATCTTCTGCAATGTGTGTGGTGTTATGTTTGGTGAAAGCTAGCTAACATTTTTGACCTTCACTGGAGAAACAAGTCGATAACTGAAAAGGCGGCTCTGACTACGTGGGTGATCCAGTGGAAGATGAGAATAGCTGGTAGAGAGCATAGAGAATGACACTACAGCCTCAAGAGAGCACTCGCTTTCAGAATCTCACAAGGACAGAGATACAGAAAAGATGATAGTTATTGCCTGCCTCACTATGGTAGCTCTTTGTCAGATCCCTTTCCCTACATACACTACTGTTCAAAAGTTTAAGGTTAGTAAGATGTTTAATATGTTTTTTGAAAAAGTATTTTATGCTCACCAAGGCTGTTTTAATATTCCGCAATATTACTTATTTCTATGTGAATATATTTTAAAACGTTATTTATTTCTGCGATAACAAAGCTGAATTTTCAGCATCATTACTCCAGTCTTCAGTGTCAAATAATTTTTTGTGGAAACTGTCAAGTTTTTTTTTTTTTGATGAATAGAAAGTTCAAAACAACAGCACTTTTGATCAATTTAATGCATCCTTGTAGCCTGGGTTTCCCCATGCTGCCTTTGCGCAGCGCGATTTTATTCACGCTGCTAGGCAGTCTGGATACCATGGACCAGATTTTCGCCTCAGCGAGGGGACCAATCACAGAACGGGGAGGGAGCAGCAAGACGATGACGACGTCTATGCGACACACCGAAGCAGTTTGTTTATACCTATGGATCAAACATGGGAGCAGACACGAAGTTACCTCTCGATGCAACCTTGGATATATACGCCATCGTGTACACATAAATCTCTGACCCATCGTCTTCTTCCTCGTCTAATTTCTGTCGCTCTACATACGTCATCTGGTATAATTGAAACGATTGGCTATGAGCTACGTACAGGCGCATTTGATAGACATTCGTAGCACCCAATAAACGGCTCTGGGGATTCGTAAACCACGCCTCAAATACGAGAAAAGGGACATGTGGTTCCCAGACCACGTCTCAATCTCAATGAGACGTGGTCTGACGTTAGCCAGGCTAGCATCCTTGCTGAATAAAAGTGTTAATTTTTTATTTTTTATTTTTTTGAATGGTAGTGTATGATGCATTTTTAAAGCATTTCAAAAGGCAGTGATAAAGTTAGTTAATTTAATCGTTCTACCTCTTAAGATACCTTCTTTGGTCCAAATTTTTAAGGCAGCTTCAAATATGTCTTTACTGGTAACTGCAATTTACTGGTACATTATTAATGTAATTCTTTCAATGCTGGATTGTAGCAATAATAGTTTAAAAGTTTTACCCAAAGTAGTTTCTATAGACCTTTCTAGATCAGGCACTTATGATGTTCCATTTCAGTTAGTATGCTGCCATAGAAGGCAGCTGTCTATGTAAGTATTATTCAACGAAGCAGCTCAATAGGATTTGGAACAGGCCTGTAATCTTTGTAGACCATTATTGTGCAAAGAGTGGTGGTGAATATTTGTCTCAAAAGCACTTAGCCCCAAAAAATTTGCATCAAAGATGCATTACATTGTCTTTATTTTTTTAGAACTGTTTCCTTATACAAGTTGAAGGCAAACAGATCTCTTGTGTCTGTCTCACTGACAGGCTATTTATTTAAACTCTTTTGAAGAGAGACTGCAGGGAAGTAGGAAAATTTAAGGTCAACACAGCAAATGTTTGTCCAGAAATCTATGGCAATTCAAATGTATGCCATGAAAGTGTTCTGTACCTCTTTCCCTTATCGTAGATTGAATCTTTGAAATGGAATAAATAGCTATGTTTTGAGTGGTATGATTAAGTGTTTCATCCATTTGTGATGCGTAGTCTTTATGCATCTTGTTGCAACAACACTGCGCATAGTGTTAGGGTCCACCATGCTGCGTAAAACTTGATGTCTGGAGGTTCCATATGCACCTGGTTGTCTGGGTGTGACAGTCTTTGGCCCTGTTTACTCTTTGTATTAAAGGGTTAGTTCACCCCAAAATGAAAATTCTGTCAGTAATTACTCACCCTCATGTTGTTCCAACCCCGTAAGACTTTCGCTCATCTTCGGAACACAAATTAAGATATTTTTGATTAAATCTGAGAGCTGGATCACTCCTCCATAGGCTTCTTAAGGGATCGAAACTGGCCGGCCCAAAAGTTATTAAAGACATCGTTAAAATAGTCCAAGTGACTACAGTGGCTCAATCTTAAGTTTATCAAGCGACGAGAATACTTTTTGTGCGCAAAAAACAAACAAAAATAACGACTTTATTCAACTATTAATTTCCTTTTCTGTTGGCCTTGAGATTTCACGAAGTGGAACTGCGCAATGGTTCTGTGTTGTACGTCACATGCAGGCTCACTATTGGCCGACACTGGTCATGTGTATGATGCGTGTGACCAGTATTGAAAGCCATAGACCTCGAGAGAAAAATCGAAAGATGCACGTCGGTAAACTAGGAAATGAACTTGCGCTCCGTGGGCGGGTCGGCACAAAAAGGAGGCGTGTTTCGGCGCAAACATTCCCTAGTGCTATTTTGCCGTTCCAGAAAACAATTCCGCCACTGACCAGAAAAAAAACGTTGCGTTGCACGTTGTTCATAATGCTATTTTAAGCGCGCATACTTGTATAATAATAACAATCCGCCATGCAACATGCACACCTGCTTTTAAAGGGTATGTTGGATGACGCTCTGATTGGTTTATTTCACGTTACGCCCAAACCACACCTATGAATAATTAAGCCATTTCAGACCAACCCCTTTTAAACTTTTATCCCGCCGGTAAAATAGCAACAGCGCCCAAGACCCGCCCACAAAGTTACTTGCGCTTCGCGCTTGATACTTGCGTTTCAGATCATTAAAATAGGGCCCCAGGTGTTAATGGGAATGTCTCCCTCGTCTACTTGAGATCAGACCGACCAAATCGCATCTTAATACCAGGTGTAAACAGGGCAAAAGACTGAATATTCTATTTGTCCCATCTCCTGTGGATCCTCATTACAGGGTCCGGCTGAGGCCTAAAGACCTGACCTTGAAGGCCTCACAATCATTAGTATGACTGCCTTCCTAATGCCCTGTATTATTAGTGGCTGTGGTTTCTGCCTCAGGGATGTGTGAATGCAAATCTCCCACACGTTCAGGGTTAAAATTTTCCACCCCTTGTGGAACACAAGCACTCTTACAATGGAGCTTATCCACAAAGCATATTCCCCACAAAGCGCTTGCTTCTCCCCAGGGTGGAAAACGTGGTAAATGCAGGTCCTTCCTTTAGGTCCGATCCCACTTGAGATGTAATTACTCCACCTCAGTCAACCAGAGGGGTTTCTCCACAAGAGCGAGAGGATGTGGGCACTTCTTATATTCGTTTTACCCCATCCAATCTCTTTTCATCACAAATCCCGGAGCTTAACTCGCCCTGCGTCCTAGGAAATGGGGCCATCAGGCAAAACTCTCAATGCTGAACCAGGCTAATTCTGTCAAGAGTGACTGGAGTGCTGTGGAGAATGAAAGGAGAGGACTAGTTGGAGATAAGAAGCTGGTGTTGCCGAGGTTCTCATTATTCTGCAACACGTCTGTTTGGAACAGGATAAAGAATTTAAATTTGTTTATTATTGCCGGTGAGATTAGTATGGGTGAAGGAATACAAACTGTTTTTGTTGTTGCCAAGTGCCAGCTAAGCGCCATTTGGTGCACAAAATGAAATAGCCTTCAAAATTCCAAAGTCGTTTTTAAGCTTGAGTCATAAGTGGCCTGCACTTTCCTGAAGGGAAAAGACGGGATGAAAAAGAAAGTTCAACGCCCCCCTTTTTTGTGTTGAGTCTGGAGGTCCATATGGTCCCCTCATGACTGTCAAATGAGTTTCTACCTGATTGGCAGATTTGAAAAAAACGTGTGTTGGTTCCAAACCAGCATATTCAGAAATGCTGAAATGTAGCTTAGACAAATTCTGATTCGCATCTGACTGTGGACATTCAGTGGGAATGCTCTATTTAAAATGCAATTTCCACATAAATGACAACCTCTATCAATTTATTTGAAAATGACAAAGTCAACAACAGCACTTTAAAACTCTCCAAAACATTCCAAACAAGGGGGTGGCTGGAGAAATTTCAGCAGTGCCAGTTGCCACAGGCAAAGTTATGAAAGTGCATCCAAACAATTGCACATTTTTACATTCACGCCGTATTTCTCCCACATGCTGTTTTGTCACGGAGGAGTGAATGTGTTCAGCCATCATGGGCCGGACTCTCTGCTCGCTGGGGCATGAGAGTATGCGGAGGGTGAAAGTTCTCGCTGAGTGTCATAAATCTGCATGGCACCTGCTCCCCCTCACTCCTTTGGCGCGTGTTGTGAGGTCAGTGGCACTGCATAAGCCGTACATCATATTTATAGTGCTCATCGCTGCAACC